GGGTCCCGCGTCCTGCCTTCGCTGGGCCCACACACTCCTTGGGGCAGAAACTGCCTATTTTAAAGCATTTCCGCACTGTTGGTTAAAGGGGAACTTGGCTTTTTTAACTTGCCCAAAACCAACCCGTGCGTAGCTGGAGGTGACACGTACGGTTGGGTTTAAGCCATGTGTTTAGGTAAGTGGTCCCTGTGCCCTGCTGGGCGGGTAACCGTACCAGTTAGACAGGCTTCTCTCACCCAAGTAAGTAAAACACAATTACTCTTTAAGAAAATTACAAACCTTGTCAAACTCCAAAGGTTTGTCGGTCTGTAGTATGCTTAACATGGGCTGGACTCATTCAGTCTTGCTTAAAGATTGTATAGAGTGGAAAATAAATACAGAAACTCTGTACATGTAGATGTGGGTACAAGTGTGTGAGAGAACATACCTTGGAGAGCCTTGTATTTGCCGAAGCGAGGGATGGAGGTGGCTAGAACATCCAGCTGGATGGCTGCTAGCTCTCTGCGCCGAGCTAAAAAAGGGCTTTTTATTCAGAAGAATCACCTCACAAAACCAGCATGATGTTTCTGAACACGCCTGTGCCTCATCTTCAGTTCGGGGCACAGCTGCTGACCCCGGTCCGGCACTGGGGAGGCTCAGGCGTACGGACACCTTTCTGCACGTAGCTGTGCAGAATCCCCTTGGTCTCGCTGTGGCCGTTTGGTGCCCACGTTTCTCCATGGCACAGAACCTCTGTTGTTGCATTTTACCCTTAATACACCTCAGAGTAAGTGAGCTAAATTCTAGTGCAAGCAGAGAGAACTTACCCCACAGCCCCAGCTGAAAAGCATTTTAAAAGTCATTCATGTGTGTTGGTGTACATTAAAGAGGCTTTATAGGTAATGTTTCAGATGAGCATGAAGAAGCTGTCAGTGTCTCCTCAGCACCTGTGTGATAATGACAGTACCCACACCACTACAGGTTCTGCATCCGCTCTGGGCAAAACTATTTTGGAAGAGTTGCGACAAGGCTTTTTTGAAACATTTCTTGGGATTGTTTGTTTATTTAATAGACTATTTATCCTGCAACCTTTAAAGACCTTGGGTCCGGTTGCAGAGAGCTTTGGGGCTACTGGTGCTGCAAACTGGGATGGTTCTGCAGAGTCAGAATGCAGTGAGCTGGCAGAAGAGTGACACAGAAGCATGGTGCTGATTCCAAGGAGTATAATTTGACCCTGCAAGAAATAAGACTTCTAGGAAGTTCAAGTGTTTCAGTTCTGGGTAAAAGCCAGTTTCTTACAAGGCAGGCAGTTCCTTATACCATCTTTCTATGCAGAAACCATCAGTTTTTCCTTACATAAAACTATGCCCTGAGAATCCTTTTTTATTTTCTCTGCAGCCTTGAAGTTTCTGTCTAACCCCATGGACTTGCATGAAAGTTGAAGAAAGTTAAGAAAACATGATAAAAGTTCAGTTCATTTTAGATACTATATTGTGGATTGGCAGGAAGGAGAATTGACATTGTTTGGTGCATTTAAGAATATACTCAGTGTGACCAGTACAGCTACACTGGGCAATCCTATAACAGCATAGTCTAGACAGCTTGGAAAGAGGTTTTCTACTCCTGTAAAACTTGCTTAATGTAAAGATTGAACTACAGACATAAATAAAGAAGGCAATTGCAAAGAGAAGGTATTTTCTAGGTCTGGAAGTCTTTTATTTCTTTCTCATCATTGTAATTAATAAAATTATGCCTTACACCCTGTGACACAAAGACCTTGACAAGAAGTGTGGCAGCTCTCTACATCTTATTCTATTTGAGGGTAACAGAAATAAGATTACAGAATCATCAGGCTTGTACTTTGTCTTCATATTTGTTTGATCAGTTTGACAGCTACACCTCTCTGGAGCCTTTTGTCACAACCAAAACAATAAAAAAGAAGCTGTGAAGGAGCTGTCCTGTCCCTTCATGCAGTCACACCATTTTGTGTCTTCTGTTCAGCTTCCTTGTGTTTCTGAGGTACCAGATCTATTATGGTTACCCTCTGCAGACATACCTGGAGTATCCCATCATCATTGCACAAGGTAATTTTTTTAAGCCATGCTTTGGAAATCAAACAGGGCTCATTCAGCACTCCAAGGATCTGCATGTAGGTACAGTACTCCACTGCAGTGATGTGAATCCATTGACCAGTTCTAGCCAGAGTCGGGGGAAGGAGGGAATGAACATCTCAAATATAATTGAATTCTTATAAATTTTATGAAAATAGAGGGTCAGATAGAGGAGAAAGATCGAATTAATACACACACGCTGGAGTTGCAGTGTAAGCTCATCCTTTATCCAGTGACTCTAGATGGGAGAGAAACATTATAAACAGTCCAGACTTTTAAGAAAAGCTTCGTTTTGGAGCTTGCAGTGTTTTGGACATCAATCAAATTTGAGAGACAAAACCTGTAAGAAACGAGTTTCTGTAGATGTGGTGCCCAGTGTAACTTCTCTCCTTTCTCTGACGAGCAATCTTTTCTTTATTTCAGATGTCATTCTCCTTTTGTTTATTCTGCGCTTCAGTGGAAACATGAAACAAGCTTTGTTCTATGCAGTCACGTATCCTTTGAAATCTGGAAATTTTGGTTTATGTAGCTTGTTTGGTAGTTCTTTGCATAGCAGCTATGTCATCGTTTGGTTTGTGCTACCATTGTAAATCATGTTCAGCCACCCCTCAACATGCATTCCACATTCACAAGCTGATTTCTGGGATCGCAGTAAAATCCCTACAAGAACTAAGCTTTATATGTAGCTGTGCTTTAGAAGACCCACAACTGATAAGGAGTAAGACAAATTCTTAATTTACATCTTTGCTAGAGATGCAGGGTGAAAATGATGAATCCTGCCCATGCAGACTGTCCTTGCTATGATGAACACAGCAGTGTACTGTTTGTTTGTTTTTTTAAATAGGATTTGGGCTTAAATCTCAAGACTTGCTCTTTTGTACAGCTCTCGAGAAACTCCAGGCACTGTTCAACTGAAGGCAGCGTGAAAAATAGGAACACTTCGTGTTTCAACCAATGCTTAATATATTTTATCTAGGTTGTATAGTCTGTTATAAAGTTTCAGTAAGATTATTTCCATATGTTTTTTTTTTTAAATTCTATAATTCCCCAGGCAGTTTCAAGAGCTACACTATCCTAGAATTTTCAGTGCTATGGAACTTAACATAATGTAAGATTCTGGGGGGGCTGGTACATGCTGACACTGCGGAAGTGGATAATTGACCTGGCCATGGTAAGTGCTGCATGATTATTTGAAATTAGGTCCACATATGAAATATTGTTTTTTTTCTGGATGTCTTGATCAGTGAAATCTGTCCTTATATTTGTCCTTGGAAGAATTAATCATTTGGGTTAGCTTTCAAAACAACCCCACTGTTTCACTTCTGTGAGTAGCTGGAAAACATAGCACTGGCAATAGAGACTATGAAAAAAAAAATGTTCTGAGGTAAAAAGTTGTTGATTGTGATGCCTTAATTAAAACTAGCAAAGGCTGAAGATGTTGAAAAAACATTGCTTCTTTAGTCCTAATGACATAATCCCCATCAATAAATCTTAAAAATTACAGGAAAAGAATAGAGCATCAGTCAAAGCATTTGAAATAGGGAATTTTAAATATTTTACATGATTTTTTTTCCTTCTTGTCCTGGAATTTTGCAAGAATAGTATCATCTGATAATGCCCTACACAGGCTAAAGATGGTCTTTGCCCTTTTTATCAGAAGACAGAAAGTTAAAGTTTAATTGAGATGAACTGGCGTTGCTCATGCAAAAGATGATACAAATGGAAATAAAAGCTTCTAAGCCTAATACTGATCCTTACTTGCGAGGGAAACCCGGGCATGCCACAGAGATCTGTGTGGAGGTCCCCTCTGCCCGCTGCCTTTGCAAAATCCCCCTTAAAAGGATGACAGGGTGAATAGTCTGTTCCCCTCATTACTTTTTCCCACCAATTGGACTCATTTTCCACACATTCTTGTCGGTTTTCTCATTCTTTTCTGGTTTTGCTTGCCAGACATAATGCTAACAGATGGTCTGAATCAACCTTGCTGTTTAGACTAGATCAGTCTCATTTTAACTAACTTGTGTAAACAGTTTTGTGTAGCAGGTTGAGAGGCTTTTTTATTTCTTTGCTTATTGTATTTGCCTCCATCAAGCATTTGGCAATAGCAATAGCAATTGCTGTGCTCTTTGAGCTTCTTCCTGGGCAGTACCTGAGAAACCAGTTCCTTGCTTCTGGCAACTTCAATTTTTTGCTTCACGGTTCCCTAGTAAGAAGCTGAATTGTTTGGGTTGCAAAATACTGAAAAAGTTTGGGATTTTTAAAAAATATTGTAAAAGAAAAAGCTAGTCCTGGTTTTTTTTAGTAGCCATAAGCTAAACACTCGGATAATACAATGGCTGAGGCAGAGGTTCTTTCTCTTTTTGTACCTGCTTTTCAGAATTTGTGTACGCTCATCAGTGCAGCCAGTAAGCTGGCTCAGCTGCGCTGTCTCTGGCAGACAAAGGATTCCGGACAAGCAAGCGCCCTGACCTGGAGTATGTCTGCATATACCTGCGCAAGTAAGCTATGGGCAACTTGGGGCAAAGCACTCAGTTTTCCTTTTTTAAAGCCATATCTCCTCCTAATGCCTCTTTCAATAGATCTTTACTCAAGCATATTAGATAAAATATCTTGCCTGATGTAGTTTCCCTTAATGCCAACTTCTGAGACTCAGGTACCACACACTCTCTTGAAATCAAGTTTTATAATTGACACCAGCTCAGTCACAGTAACACTGACTGAGAAAACATCAGTGTGGTCAAAGGAACCTGATACAGTTGAAATAAATGAAAGTCAGTCTTTATGGGGAAAAGATTTCAGTGTTCTGGGATTTAAGAAAATTACTAGTGATCCAGCATGAAAAGGTGCTAAATTTTGTAGTTAAGACAGTCAGACAACACTAATTCTGAAAAGTCATCTACAAATACACACTTAATGCTGAATTCCTTTAACTCTATGACTGCATGTAAATACATGTCTCAACAGAGGAGAATTTAAGAAAGTACAAAGAACAGTGACCTGTGCAGTTCATGTGTTAATTACCTAGTGGTCTGCGTGAACAGTTCTGCAGCCATTTGTCAGAAATGCCTTTGTCATATTCACAAAACTTGTTTAAAATATTCTTACTATAGAACATAGTGATGCTGGCTCTATTTCCCTGTGAAACAAGTGTTTTAAAGTCAGTAATTAGAAGTTGTGGTATGTTTGCTGAACAAAGGCAATAAACTTTGTAAATGATTTTAGTCTGCTGCAAAAGTGAAATACTTAGTGTTTAGATTTGCTGTGGGAAGGAAAGCTGAATTCCTTTTATTTGCAGAAGCCTAAAAGCACGCAGGTGAACACGGACAATGGTTAAGTCATGCTAACTCCATTGTGGGTGTAGCTCAGGATCAGCTATTGAGGGAAGGGACTGAACAGAAAGAGAAGCAGTAAACTGACCACATCCAATTTAGTGAGATAGATAGACAGAAAAATTCTAATTATATCAGTGATTTTCTCATCTAAAAAGACCCTTAATACAGTGTCAGTCAGCTTTGAGAGCTTGATCTCTGAAGCTAAAATAGTGAACAGTAGAAGCACTAAAAGTGGGAATGTCTATACAGTGTGCATTTTCATGCAAGATTATCCTCTGTTGAAAAATAGGTATGTGGTGGGTTGGCCCTGGCTGGATGCCATCATCATTTTTTAAAGGTATAAACATGTCATATCTAGTCCACTAATCAGAACTAATTCAATTTACAGCAAGAATAGTTACAACCGTAATGACTACGAATGATCTCGCAGGTGAGTAAAGTGTGGAATTGCCTGCCTGTCCCAAGATAACAGCTACTGGTCATTTTTAGCTATTCTGTAAAAGCATTTGTCTGGTCTCAGAAGAACAAACCATCGACCTGGGCATTCAGCATGGTGAGGGAAGGAGTTACTGCTAAGAAAGTAGCACAGGATTACAAATCAGTCAAATACCTGGAGAAAACAAAACAACCTGGTTACGCTTCTCACATGGTGACAAGTGGTCCAAAAGCCATTATTTTTTTCAAAAGGCAAATGCACTATAAAATTAACTTAATTATGAAAATAGAAGAATAAAGCATTAAAGATCTTCAATATTTAAATATATAAATAAATTTGGTAAAATAGAACTTTAAAAATCTATAATAATTGAGTGATAGCTTTACAAATAATAAGTGTTTCCTTTTCTTATTGTGGGATTTGTGCACTAAAAAATTCTTCTAGAAAACTATTTAAAGTTCAGCTTAGTATATAAATAGTGTTCGGCACAACAACCTGTTTATGGCAGGCTGAAAATTAAACAGTAGGCTGGTAAGAAACTCACAAAAAAACTGTCTTAAAATAAATTATTGGCATCTGATTTCATTATAAAGCAAATTTATTTAACAGCTTCTTACCATCCTGACAAAACTGAAAGAGCTAAGCAGTGCAGCAGATTTTTCAATTAGTGGTTTGAAATCAAGACTTGGTAGATGCAAGAACAGTAACAAAATCACATTGTACTTTATTTGGTGGATCCTTGTTGTAGTTCAAAACTGGTATTTCATCAGAAATGTCGTATGAATGCTTTTTTTTTTTTTAAGCAGTCTTCTGCAGCACAATAAGGCTTTAGTTTTACAAGCTGCTGAAGTGGCTCTTTCACTGGAAAAGGAAGTCCCCTTTTCAATCACTCATCTTCACCCCTGTGCTTGCTGCTTTCTCTTTGCCTGAGTAAGAGTTTGTGGGGCCACACAGTTAACTGGATCACCAAAAAATTGGCATACTGCACACACAGAAATTTAGTCCGGGTTAGTTACCGAGTTCAGTTCACCCACAGCTACACACTTACACTGATTAAAAGCAAGAGAGGTATATTAGTTATATCAAGGGCAGGAAGGAAGGGAGAAAACCACCATGAAATAAAGTAAGAAGCTGGCTCTGGTTAAAGCTGATTTTTAAAATACAGCAGAATACACTTTGGAACATGGAAGAGATGGCAGCAAACACTGATACTGTGCTGCTCTGATGGAAAATGTTTCCTGCTAACTTCTAACACCGATCACTTTGGCATGTTCATCTTGGTTTCATACACATGTATGAAACTGTCAAACATCATGTATTTCTGAAAGAAAGGTTTGTGCACGTCTGTGAAAATTGCATTTACCAAATGGATATTAGCTATACTGTACTTCAAATTGAGATGTCACAGGCAGAGATACTATGCTTATTTTGATTTTAAAAAATTCTGAAAGTTAATCAAAATACTGAAAAACTGCTTCTTAGTTGTCAGATTTCCTCTCATTAAAATCTGACAGATACGAGTATTTCTTGTCTCCCCAAAGTCTAAACTAAAAAGATGGCGGCAGAGAATAATCTCTTTATTATAAACAACACACACAACTATAAAGAACATGTGAGCTTCAGCTTTGAGTTTAATTTTAGGTGTAAATATAAATTTATATGAAGCTACTCAAACTTGTACTAATCTCCTGGTTTTGTTACAAAAGATTTAAAGGCACTGTAGTGCATTACTTTCAGATACCATTCAGAAGTGCTAAATGTTCTTCTCTGCTATATTTACTTCGAGAAATTCTGGGTTCCTGAACCTGGTAATTTAAACTAATTGACTGAAAAGAGTTGCAGAATGGGAACTCGCCCATTTGTACACCAGTGCTGGTTTACAAAACAATGTGTCTTCTGAAAATGACACCTGCTGGTTTTTTTGGATTTACACTCACAAGTTTTTTTTTTTTTTTTCCATTTTAGTTCTCATCCGTTTCATAACCATGCTCATTCTCAATATTTGGGTCACAGCCACAATCCTGCACTACAGGAAAACTAAAAAGACTGATTAGAAGGCACTCATCAGCACACAACATAGTTACCATCCAAAAAACCTGACACAATTAAGCTTAAACACCAGAACAAAGTCTGAGGAAGCTCTCTCTCTTTTAAGCCTAGTATTTATCCCTTAGGATAATTAGTACAGTCATACTTATTTTATCTTAGAAATAATTCTGATAAGATACTTAAATTAAGCAGCATATTTTTATTGGTCATTTAAGACAAATTTCACTCATACCACATTTTCTCTGGACTTTTTTACTAAATGAACAAAGTATTTTGTATTTAGATGTTTATATATTCTTCTATCGCTTCAGTACTTTCTGGTTACATATAAGCAATGTTCTTTAATTATACAAGATCAGTTTTGCACCAACATAACAACTCCTCTTTCTGCATCTGCCGCAAGTTTGAAAAACAACAGATGTTTGTCTTCTTCTTGCAAGCAACTCGGTTAGTTCAACATGAACTATCTGTATTTTGGGATGAAGAAAATCTGAGTCAAGGCCCAATTAAAAATAAGGTTCTAAATGCGTTTTACTAAGTCACAAATCCGGTTGGGACTGTAGCGCTTACGTGCAACACTGAAATGGAACAGCCTGTCTGTGCTGAAGAATGTAGAGTTTGCTTCAATTTTTACTTCGGAGATTCTAATCAATTTGTAGTAGGTATATTAAAAAAAGGGAAAAGGATATTCTTGAGAACTATTAATGGGGGATTTTGCTTTTGGAAGCAATGCCTTTCCAACCAAAAGTTATAGCAGTAATCATACAGCTTGCCTTCATTTCTCATCACATTCTCCAAATTCAACAGATACGCCTTTTCAAGTGATTTCTTACAGTATTACTGTTGCTTGGCAAGTTAAAACCAAGGCACCCTTGGTCCTGACACTCTTGAAAACCATATGAAGACTGCAGTGGCTGCATTTGAGGCAGGTTTTCCTTGCAAAACACTCAATCATTGGAATCTTGTGGGAGAGCGGGATCTGCAAAAGCACAATTTTCTGCCAGCGCACCCTCAGCCATCAGACTGAGACCTGCACAGTCAGCACAGGGAGCTGCTTTGCAAACTCCAGTTTTAGAGCAGGAAGGGGTAGGAAGGGCTGTGCCTGTGGACATACGATTTCATGTCTCTCACATTACAGGTGAGAGAGCAGGTTCAAAGATGAGGATTTTTTTTACTGCTCCAGTAAAATGTATAAATGTTTCTATGTTGGCTGGTTAAGGAACTGTAAACATCCTGTTACTGATTTTACTAAAGCTGTGTAAATACCTGATGTGGTTTCGATGGTGGCAGATGGCATGCAATACATTTTCCAGGTTATATTAATAAATGCCATTCTTTGTGATTGATTAATGTCATTCTTACAGTTAATTTTCATTACACTTAATTTTTTATTCTGTTTCCATCTATGGAGAGAAAATGAAATATTCATTACAGGTCACTAATGGGCAGCTTTCACCTTACTATTTGAAGTGTCAGGCTGTATATTAACATGTAAAATGCTAAAGAGCTCCAGCATCTTAAAAGAAAAAAACAAAAACAAAACACACACTTGCTTCTCATCTCATTTTTTTTAATTAAAGCCTCTTCTTGATAGAGAAGGATTGGTATGGAGTCCAAACCCTGTCTGCTATTGAAGTTTTCCATACTCCTGAGTGATGCTGTAGCATAATGAAGACACTTCATTTACAGTTTGAGGATCAGCACTTCCAAATTGTTGGGTTTTTTTTTCCCTTTTTTGGTCATAAAACACTGAAAATGCATCTAAGAAAAGTTCTTTGCCGATTACTTAACATACTGAGAATAAATGGCCTTTGAAACTCGCAGAAAAACAAGAGCCCGAGGAAGAGGCACAAAGCTGGATAACTCACAAGCTTAAATTAATTTTGTGGACTTGGAAAGCTGGACCATGAGTTCTCATTCAAGCTGGAAGAGATGGGGAACAAATCAGAAGGCAGCAGTAAATGGTTTTACACACTTTTTTTTCCTCTCCTCATAGGGAATAATTTATTTCACTTTCATAAGGTAGAAGTGTGGTCAGGTCCTGGGCAAGCCCCCTGACAGCGCAGACCTAGTGGTTTCCCAGTATGTAAACCATAATCTTCTCAGAAGCTGGATTAAAGGCAACAGCTTTAGACAAGATACACGGGGAGGATAAATCTTGTTAAACTTGTCATTCAAGAGTATCAGGGCGGACACCAGCAAGCTGTTCAGCAGCGGACCAACGACAGGCAGGGAAAGCATCTTGGATTTTCTGTCTTGCATGTAAGCCAGTAAGCAACTTTTCTCCACAGGGCTGGAAGTAATACGGCTCCATTCACAGATCCCATGGAAGTGCTGAATTACACACCCGGGGTCTGATTGCATGGCAAACTCACAGGATTAAAATACCCTTTGCTGTTCAGGCTGGTGAAGGGTGGGTCCTGTCAGGGCTTTCAAAAAGTATGAGTCTTCTTGCCTGTGAAAAGACAAGATCTGAATTCTAGTACAGCCCGCTGCAGTTTCAGTGTAACCCCGAACCTCTGCAGCTGCGGATCTGATGAACTACGACTGTGCGTTTGGTAACAGGCTACAGGCTGCGTGTAGCCACAAAGCTCACGTCAGCAGCATGAAAGAGAAAACATTTATCATCACATTTACTATCCGCACCCCCAGCCCAGAAAAAAAGGACACAATTCCAGAGGTAACAGGTGGCAGGTTAGAAAGTGAGGAGCAGTGGAAGGTGGGCATCATTTACTTTTCCCAAAAGCCTCTTTCTGAACTCTCCTCAGAGAAGAGGAGTATCGTACACAAATGCAAAACCATCATCTCCCCCACCCTACAGGCCCCGTAACACTCTGAGTTTGGTGCAGGGTAGGACTACCTGGATGTAGTTATCTACACATTTCTTTGTGTTACACTAATCCAGACAAAGATTTTATTGCTTGGACAGCTCAGAAGTCCCTGTCCCGGTCTGACCCTTGAGCCTCTTCCACTGGTTTATGTTGTGCACGTAGCTTCTCCCTCACCTGGTTCTGCTCACCCAGGTTATTAAAACAGAAGAGAAACTGGGGTGGGGTGGTGGACACGAACCTCAACTGCTGGAGCTCAGAAACCAGATTTTAGAGCACTTTGGACAAAGTCATTCATAATTAGCTAAAGGTCCCAAACAGCTTACAACTTGCATAAAGTCTTCACTCACTCCTTTAAATGAGGTAAAATTACTCTTCCTCCACCAAACAATCATTATGCATTTAAGGACACATATAATATGGGGGGGTTGGGAGGAAATAACACCTCAGAGCCCACAGGAAGAACTATTATCAATGAAAAGCTACACAGATGTGGAGATCAACTCAAATGAGGCAGTTTCCCAGCCATCTATTTTCTATTATGATAAATACTTCTAAATTTTCTATGACAATAAATTACTTCCCTGCTAATCCTTTTCAGGCTGGTTTGTTCCATTCCCTTCCAGATTCTTCAATACTTGAGATTCATATTTATGTATGAAGCAGAACATGAAATGTTGCCTTCATCATTAATAATGGTCTAAGGATGTCACGGTTTGGATTGTAAGGAAGCTGAAAAAAACCTTAAAATAGGATGTTATTGAATTCTTGGTTTGTACTGAATTTACGTTGCTTGATTTTGAGCTAAAGTTCTCCAAGATACTCGAGTTCTTGGAGATGATGGCTGTTGACATCAAACAGGTGTTTGGGAGCCACAATAACATCACCATAAGTGACTTGTCTCATAAGATACAAAAAGTGTAAATGGAAGAAGAAGCTTCCTACACCTCAGTGTCCCCTCTGTCATGTAAATCAGGACCCTAATGAAGCATAAACTGAGCTTGTGTAAAGCATATTTTAAGTTACCCAGTTACCGTGAAGAAATCCTTTCACCTTTGAGCAACGGATGACACAAATTCCTCTGAGCTGACTTTCAAAACAGTGACTTGAGAGATTTTAAATTGTTTTCTCTGAAATGCACCATCCACATGACTTACAGTCCTCATGGTCTCTCTGAGCTCAAGGATATTTTCCTCTCCCAGCATCCACGTTTGTTTTAAGCGTGCACATACGCCCACTTTCCCAGCAATAAAACTCGCATTGCTGTAGCTCCCAACGGAAGCACATAAGGGAGCTCCCGTATAGTATTTATCAAGCCCTCCCATCGCTCCAGAGCAGACAAGCAGCTACACAGATCTTACTGAATCCCAGTTGGCCCCCAGTACACCAAGGCTGTGAAACACTGGACAACACCACACAGGTGTGTGAGGCCATGGGATCCAGCAAGTAGATGCAAGTCCTGAAGCTGCAGCCAGACGTGCACCTAGTGACAAGAGCAGCACACAGAGCCTGTGTGACAAATGGAACACAGCTGAGGTAAGAGACAAAGCTAGGGCCAGCCAATGTGAAAAAGGGTTCAGACGGTGGGGTTCCTGGCTCCTTCAGCCTTAAAACAGTTAAGGTATGAAATAGGACAGACACTTCCAAAAAAAGTTTCCACCACTTCACTCATTAACAAGAAGTAGCAGGTATCCAAGATACACTGCGAACACGGCAATTCCGTGCCTACAGTCCAAGCAGTTGGTGAGCCAAAGGAAAAGAGGAGGATTGGCTGTGACCCCACAAGCCTGATGTACTTCTTGCTGGGTGGCCATGCCTACTGAGTGGTGCAATGGCATCCTGGGCAAAAAAATAAAAACCTCATGAAGAGCTAGCAAGGGTGATGAGAAATGACAAGAACTGGATGATCTACGAGGCACACTGGGACACGACAATGTAAGACTATACGTACAAGTAGGCTCACATCTCAGAACAAAGGCTGAAGGCCTAACCCCCAAAATGGGGTGATGTGACTGAAGCAGCACGGGCAGTTGCCTTGGCTGTGAAAGCATCTCTACATAGCTCCTCCAACCAACCTAGAAAGGGCTGCAGGAACGTGCAATTGCTCCACACTCTGCTCTTTCTTTTCAGGATGAAGATGCGTCTTTCCAGATTTCTGTAAGGTTCGCAGGACCACA